AGCATACTTACCCAGAAAAATACGCAGAATATCGTCAAAATCGACGGGACACCGATGAGGGCGGCAATGTTCGGGATGACGGCCATGACTGCAATAATTATTCATGGCTATGGTTTTATTTTACGTTACTTTTTTATTCTACATTATTTTAGGCTCAAACTAAAACTATGAGCTTATTTTTCGACGCGCTATCGGATGGCGTCGCAAAAATCACGACAAAGTAAGCGAAAATACCGAAACCCTTCGGCTGTGGAGCGGGGTCAAGGAAACGCTTACCTTATTTTTCAAGGTTTTTCTTCTAATATGAAACATAAAAACTCATTTTTAGAACTCAACATTATACTTAAAGCATCATAAAATGCATGAAAACCCACAAAAAGCTCCAGCCAACGAGGAGAGAATTGAGCTGAAGATCGCCGAACCAATGATCAGCGCCGAAATTATGGTGCGCGGGTTTCGCTCGTAGTCCCACATGAAGATTAGCGCGTAGAGCCTAAAATTGCCTGATTTGCATTGGCTAAAACTGCAATAGACACAAGGTTTTTCGTGCAATTAAACTCCAAACATGTTTTGTGGTTTTTCTGTTTGGATTTCGCGCGCCTAGCCTCCAAAATACTACACTTTACTTTACCCCACCCCCAGCCGGAAGTTGTTGGCTATAACTTTTTTATTTTACATTATTGTAGGCTCAAATTAGAACTCTCAATATATTTTTCGACGATCTATCGAATCGCGTGGCAAAAATAAGCGAAAATACCGAAAACTTGGATACCCTTCGGATGTGGGTAGGGGGGGGGGGATGGTCGAAGTCTTACCAAGATACTTAACCAGCGCAAAAAAATCAATAAGTCGGTCAGAAAAATGAATTATCGAGGGTTTAACACAAGCAAAAAGCTCGAAATGTACTTAAAACAATTAAGTCATTTCAAAAAGTCACAGCTCTTTCTGACCGTTCACTAATAATCATCGGAAATATCGTAAACACCACGACCATTGATTGCAGTCGGATCATGACAATCATGATTAACACCAAATCTCCGCTAAAGCTCCCTACAAAACTAACGCGTTTCAAAAAAATACGCATAAAATTACCATCGCGATCTATCAGCCCAAACTCATAAAGCAACGATATTAGGCGAGTCACTACCATAACCATCGCGTGAATTATAGAAAATACAAATATTCTGGTGAGATTGACGTGAAATCGCCCAGAATTTGCGACTATTCGGAGGTACGGTATGTAGAGAACCAGGCAGAAAATCAGCAACAGAAATTCGATGAAGGTGGCTTTTAGGACGATACATTGGAGGATAGGGTATTCCTGGAAAGCAATGAAATCTCGCTCTCTCTCGCTCTCTCTATCTCTCTCGCTCTCTCTCACTCTCTCTTTCTCTATCTATTGCTCTCTCTCTATCTTTCTCGCTCTCACGCTCGCTCTCTATTTCTCTCCCTCTCTATCTCTCTCCCTCTCTATCTCGCTCGCTCTCTCTCACTATCTCCCTCTTTCTCTATCTCTATCCCTCGCTCTCTCTCTATCTTTCGCGCTCTTACGCTCGCTCTCTATCTCTCGCCCTCTCTCGCACTCGCTTTCTCTCGCCCTGTCTCACACTCCTCTCTCTCTTCTCTCGGTCTCTCTCTCACGCTCTCTCGCACGACATACCTTTAATTCCTTAATATCGACAAACAAAAACACGACAAATTTCCAATCATTGCCCTGATAGTCAAAATGGTAGATCATCGACGAAAGAATAAGTTCAATTTTCTCGGAATGCCGCGGTGGTCCGGACGCAGTTTGGTTTTGCTCTCCCAAAAACATTTTGTTGCACCTGCCCGGCTAGTTAGGGTGGAGAGCCAGGATTAAGGGCTGACAGAACACATTTGCAGCTGAACAGGGTTTGCCTAATTGGATGTTACTTGCCTTGGTTTCCTGAATTAACTTTTGTAACAGGCGATGTGAACAACGCGGAACCGCCACTTTGTTACTTCCGCGACCAATATAAGCGCTTCGAAGCCCACGACGAGCCATTTGAAGCACAATATTAGCACTTCTTAGCCCAATACACGCCCTTTGAGGCCCAATACGAGCACTTCGAAGCCCAATACGCGCACTGCGAAGCTAAATATGAGCGCTTCGAAGCTCACCACGAGCAGTTCAAAGCCCAATGCGAGCACTTCCAAGCCAAATTCGACGCCCAGCGCGCCCCAGCGCTTCCAAGCCAATTTTTGAACTGCTACAGGCTCTTAGTGTTTTTGTATTTTTTTTATTCGCTCAGTATGAAGCTCTGGATCGTGAGGGTTTTATCAGTACTAAACACTCGGCACATTCTCAACCACATCCAGAGATCAAGGGGGATTTTACGATATGTTCCGAGCTGAGCGCCGAGCGAGATAATTTCACTAGCATAATAACATTTATTTTAGATTAGTGCCCATCGATTTGAGCCTGGCCTATCAATTTCATGGGCTTTGCCGATATTTTCATCCGCTCAGTTGTGGGATTGGTGAGGATTTATAACGGAAAGGGGGGGGGGGGACAAAAAAAAGGCTGGCAGAAGCTGATACTCTCCTGGCTTTCATTAGTGCATCGAAAGCGCCGGCGTTTCACGCGTTGCGGGGCGGAGCAATTTTACTTGTGACTCCACAGCTTCCGAACTAGTCTTAGGAGTCTCGGCAATGTTTGCGTTGTCAAGGTAAATCTTAGACCAGCATTCTGCCGTACATCGAAGCAGTAGATCTATGCATATAAACAGACTGCACCGCGCAATTCCGAGCGAATCTAGCCACAAGTTCGGGAGAAATCCGATTGAAAAGCATAAGTTCTTTGAATCACCGGCTACGGGCATGGGAAATGTCTAATTCACGTCAATGAATTTTTATACCCCTGCACGTAACAGTTCAAACTTGGAAAGTGGCTAGTGCAGCGCTATAACTTTGGCTTTTGGCCCTAATTCTGGGGGTCTTGCAAATTTATACTGTGGCTACGGTATCGTTTTGTCGCTGGTTACATTTCCATTATTTACGAATAACAATTGCAAAAATAAACCTGGATTTGGATAAAACATATGCTGTAATTTTATTAACACCATACTTCAACAGAAATAACGAATCTAGCAAATATCATTTGTTTCGGTTTGTCCCTTTTGGCTTTCGGCAGTCTCGGACGTCCTTGTGAAATATCGAACTTTGGCGCTCCTCGTTCTCATCGGCACTTTCAGGCATACAAGTATTCGGAAAATCGGCTTCAGGCAACATTCACGATACGGCTTCACAAACCAAATCGTGATGAACGGGCTAATTGAGCTGGCCTAAACAAAAAAAAAACTAAAAACAAGAAAGTTTATAGATACCACAGCCAAGGACAAGAAGACCCATTCCTCATAGTAGGGAAGATACGCTACCCCTCTAAAAAAACTGAAAACCTCGCAAAAGATCTCTTACGGAAATTCGAACTGTTTCCAAATGTAAAAAGCCGATTGGGACATGCAGAAGAATGGGAGCAAAGCTTGAAGACCAAGTGCCTAAAACAACAGTAAAAGTTAAAAAGTGAACAACGCACCGTGACCAGACTTTTCTGAGCGGCTCTCGTCTTCTTGCTCATTGCAATATCAGAGTTCAACTTCCTCAAAATCTTCTGGCGATAGTAGATCGATATAGCGTAGCCAGGAAAGACCGGCATGCATACCCAAACGATGAGGAGAAAGGTTCTAAAAGTCTAAAAATTCATAAAATCTTGTTAATCCTACTCGATATCAAGCATAGAGCGAAACCCGGTCACCACCGCTATCCTTGGATTATTGGGCCATAGCGATTCGGGCCGCTTTTCGGCGAGTATCTTGTAAATATAAGCCGAATCTGCCTCGACAAACGCAACAATGTGCAAAATCTAAAAGTTGAGACCATGTATTAAAAAAAGAAGGCAACTAACCATCGTGATAAAAGCCGGCACGTAGACGAGGAAACAATAAAAAGCAATTCTTGCCGTCGGTGGTGCCTTATGCTTGATAACGTGGTGTCGATACCTGAGCATTTACAACTTTCGAGATACACCCGTAAATGTACCAAAAAGACAGCGGCATCAACGTATAGGAATAGGAAATGCAGTGCGAAGTGACGGATTGAGCTGAAAGCAGAAAAAGCGTTCCTTTCAATGAGGATAAATTTTTGAAGACTATATCCGCGAAAAAGGGAAAACCACTCCTTCGAAAGAACCGCCCCGCGCCGCAACGCCTGAGGCGCCCACGCCCTCGATGCACTAATGAAATCCAGGAGAGTAGCAGCTTCTACCAGGTCTTTGTTGACGATTTCGCGGCTTTTGCGCTACAAATACTTACCAATTCCACAACTGAGCGGATGAAAATATCGGCAAAGTCCATGAAATTGGTAGGCCAGACTTAAGTCGATAGGCACTAATCTAAAACAAATGTTATTATGCTAGTGAATTTATCGCTCTCGTTGTATGTGACAATTTTTACCTGGGCATTGCAAACATTGATGAGGCGCCGAGCACCAGCTCGGAACAGGTTGTACTTAAAAAATCGTTGTAAAATGAAATTTTTCCTTTCCCACCAAGCCAAAATGATTGAGTAGGACCTAAAGCCCCTCGAGGTGCGGAATATAATCAGAAAGAACAATAAAAGGTTGGCTAGTGCCGAAACCGTGTCGCAAAAGTGGTGAACTCCAATGAAAACGGCAGCGCGTTGAGGCGTGAAGATTGGTTCTTGCATTTCTAAAGTGTTTGACAAATGGCGAATTTGATGTTTCGATGAATGAAAAATAAATGCCAAACTAATCGATTAAACATATTGTTTCTTAATGGGAAATAAGTGCAAAACAAGATTCAAACAGATCTCAGGCAAAGAAGGAACATTAAGACGATTTTTTGGGTTTGCAATTAAAAAAAAACGTTTTGAGCTACTCGTTTATATTGTCTTAATGCAGCTTCAAACACTAAAATGAAAAAAAACAGAGGGTAGAACAGAGAACAGGAATCGGAGCCAAGGGTCATAGATAATGAGGGTGCTGGGTGCTGCTTTGAAATTGGGCCCAATTAATTCCGCTCGGAGATGTTTTTCAGGGTACCAAGAATCCCGAACGAAGCCCAGCAAACTCTTCCCAAAAACTGAGAATTTTTCGAAGGCTGAAACCTTAAAACCCGATGAAGGCACCGCCGCACTTTCCGAAAAAGAAAACAAGGATGCTGACCGTCTTTTGGGGCTAATAATTGTAAGTAGAGTGTAAACAACATGGGAAAAATCAGGTGGCTTTGTCAGCGAGAACAGCCTATTAGTGTGAGAAATGGCGCCAGCGACCTCAAAAACACCCAACGCACGCACCGAGGAAGTGCAGTAACTAGTACATAAACATGGCGGTTTGGAGAGTACATGATGTATCTTAGAAAATGGAGAGTTACCCAAACTCTTTCCGAAGACAATGGCGACATCGGCCATGCCAGTAAAAAAATGGGCGACGGAAATAGGATGGCTTAAGAATTTCCGGAAGGCGCCTCCGCGAAATGTTTGTACTCGAGGCCAGGCCCGCGGAAAATGCGTTACGTCTAGGTAATTGCCCTTTCTGCTCGGTTTAGCTCAGTTCATTGTAATCCAGAATGTTGGCTCTTTTGCATTATCGGGGGGATGGGAGAAAAATTTTTGTATCAAACTAGAAATGCATAGTAACATTAAGAAAAAGGACTTTCATAATGTTTTTAGTAAATAAAGCTATATTTTAATTAGAAAAAAATCCCTAAAACTTTCAAAAATTTTCAAAAAGTTGATTTTTGGTCAAGGCTGCCATTTTTGGCCGAAAAATAGATATTTTTTGGTAGTATGAAATTAATTACGATTTAATTAACATTTTATTATTAAGTTTTTACGTTTGGGTGAGCAAAAAAAAGAATTTAGACACAATTCGGCGATCTTCATTTCAAAAACATAGTTCCTAAGGAAATTGCCGCCCCCGATAATGCAACAGAACCAGAATGTAGGTGTTTTCGGGGGTTCAGTTTTCCAAAATGAAACCAAGAATCGCGGCTGTTTTTGCGCACTAATAACTACTGTAAGCAATGCGTTAACATCATGGTAAAAATCAGGGTGCTTTTTCGGCGGGAACAGTCCATTAGTGTGGGAACGGTCGGCGGCGTCTTAAAAATAACAGAAGCACACCGCGAAGAGGAGTATTACATACTCCTGGGATATACGGTTCGACTGTGTTTTAAGGAGGGACAATGACGAAAAGGTGTGCTTCCGCCATTTTTACGGATTATGCCAATACGGGTTCCATTCGGAAAAATTAAAAACAAAAAGTTATTACATTCAACGTAGAAGAAAAGGTATCCGGAATGGTTGTAGCCTAGGCTAGACTCTCGGAAATTGGGTTCAAGTCATGGTAATTGTCCCGTTCAGTACGCGTTGATGGAATCCATCGGAATACGCAAAAAAACTTGCAGAGTTAAGCAATTTCTGCAAAAAAGTTTTTCCGACCTGGCAATGACGAGCACTGAATACCTGTTCCTTTTAAAATTCCAGGAAAAGTTATATGTAAGCAGTGAGATGTTACGCAGATCGACGCGACGTCGGGATAATATGCAAATCAGGATGCAATGTACAAAACAAGCTCGATAAAACAATTTTTTTGCGCTTTGCATCTTAATTGGAATGTTATCTCGGCGTTGCGTCGGGATGCGTGACATCTTTAGTAAGCGGACCGACAACGAGGTATCCTAAGAAGGGCCTTTAATAGTTTTGCTTCCCAAAAATCAACTGGCGTTTTGTGAAGAGTCGTGGATTGGACATCAGCGAAATGACACCATTAAAGCGTAATAATCGCATATTACGCGCATAGAATGGTTAATTGAATTCGGATGCGGAAAGGGCAGGAAATACTCAGGACGGTATCTCAAACCTCACTAGGGAATGGTCTCCACTCGACATCGAATTTCTTGTTGCAAGTTAGCTCATTTTGTAGATCTCGACGAGACGAATTGATTGATGTAACTTTTAGCTGCGGATACCTTATTTTAACAAAGTTACAGCCCTTTAAAGTTTTTGACCTACCTTCATGAGCCCTCCCCGCATCCCCTCCACCGTGGCTTGGTGGCCTAGTGGCGTAGTAGTCGGCCTCTGGGGAATCTAACGAGGGTTCGAATCCGCTCACGATTTTTATTTTTTGCTTTTTGGTCCAAACGTTCCTTTTTGCATTCTCAGGACCTAGACAAACTCTTTTTTGATTCTTTAACCTCCGTGAAGGTTTTAGAACTTTAAAGGGCTGTAACTTTGTTAAAATAAGGTATCCGCAGCTAAAAGTTACATCAATCAATTCGTCTCGTCGAGATCTACAAAATGAGCTAACTTGCAACAAGAAATTCGATGTCGAGTGGAGACCATTCCCTAGTCAGGCCCCCCATGTACTTTACGGCTCAATTTTCGAAGTTCCCGGGTTCCCAAGTTTGGACGAAACATTCCCTATAAGCGGCCCTCGAGTCCGCAACATTGTGCGACTATTTTGTATATTAACAGCTTTTTACCGGCTTAATCAAATTACTTTGTTTTCGGCAAAATCCAACGGTAAATTCTGATTTTCCAGTAGGTGCATATTTTACTAATGCGGTGTTATGCTTTGCTAGTTACAATTGCGTGTAGATTTTAGGAATGAGCTCGCAATTTGTGAATTCTAGTGAGCTCACAAAGAAATGCAGCAAAAACAGTTACGCCGAAAACCGAAAGAGTGAGGGCCGTCATCCCGCGGCGGCGGCTGGCAATTTGCCAGAAATCACAGAGCCCTTCCAAGAGGGTTTTGATTTGCAAAATTTGCAATCTATTCCAAAATTCCAAAACAGAACCCAAAAAAATTTAAGCCCAAAAAATCATCCCAAATCGTTCATTGTCGTCGACACCGGCGTGCTCGACAGAAATCTAGCATTCGCCGCAGCCAGCCTCAATTTGTTGGCCCTACGGTTTTCCTTGGTCACGGCGATAGTTGAAGTTTCGGAGATGACAAAAGTGCGAGGCTTGACACAGCCTAAAAAGCTAGCGTTTTTCGGGTTTAATAAAATACAAGGTTACATGCGTAAGGCTATCAAATAAAAAAAATAGACTACTTACATGGAAATATTTTCACGCCCATTCGCCAAAGAATGTGTTTAATGTACATTTTATACGGTCGGTAGAGTGAAAACGTAGTCACCGTAGAGAAAAAGCCGTGCCAGCCAAGGATGAAGGTAGCTAGGGGAATTAGACCTAAAAATCTCTAACATTTCGATTTGCTATCATATTGTAGAAAGCCATAATTTCAAAATGTGTGATGTCGAAATTCAGGATGTAGACCTTTTAGAGTGTCGAAATTGCCTAATGTCGAATTTTTTGCCTAGGGTTTGCGGGGTTTTCCAGGAAATTCGCTTCTGTAAATTCCGAAATTCTGAATTTCGACATTATGAAATTTCGGCATTATCAATTTCCAATTTGGAAGTGACCCTAAAATTTGAATTAATATCCATCCTACCAAAAAGAGCCACCCATTCTAAGATGATATCAGTGACGGCGAGTGCAACTGGCAGGATAATCGTTATTAGCGGGATCGTCACCTGGAAAATATTTCTAGGCGTTTCCAACCTTCACTGACTTGTAGCAGACAATTTTTCATCCACTTCTTCTGCAAGTTATAAGTTTTTTCGCTCATCAGATGTCGCCTCACATGCAAAACGTGAAAGCTGGAGAAACTAGCTCCTAAACGAAATGCGTTTTAAAACTATAAAAAATATCCTTACCCATCACTATAAAAAACAAGACGACCACCCAAGCCGAAATATTTATCATCATCAGGACCCCGTCTTCAGGGGTGAAAACATAACAGCGTGGCACCTCCAGGAATTGGCGAAACATGAAGTAGCGCTAAATTCAAGCAATACTGGCAAAAGACTGAGAAACTACCTTCAAGTAAAGCTTCTTAGTAGCTTCTACATCATCATTATAAAAAACGTAGCTTGCCAATGTGATTAAATGAACATAAGCAAAGATTTGGAGGCCGATGTAGACGCCGAGCATTAGCCTGTAAGATCCAGAAAACAGTGTGCTCACGTTGGCCTATACTTATGATCAAATTTTAACAGATGATTTGGTGGCATAATCGCTTGATGTCGCAGCATAAACATAATCATCAGAAGGGAAGCCATGTGGACTGCGATGCCGAAACCAATTCCCTAAATAACGACATTTCTAGCGCCAAATTAGCCTTTAACCCGCTTAAAAATCATATTTGTACAACGGCGTGACACACAATAAGTAGGCTAGCTAAACGGTTAAAAAACTGACGATTTGAACTTGAGTCGAAACCCCAAATTTCCAGAGCCAACCGTTCGGATATCCTCCTGGAATCGGAAAAATAAAATAAGGCGTGAGTATCCAGCTGATGAAGGCGTCGGTTAAGAATGATAATATTTAAATATAAGTTTTGCATTATATTATTAAAACTATAACAATTTTGCTGTGGTCTCTGTCCGTTTGAAGCCAAAATCAACTCGAAGGGGAAAGAAGCTAGAGATTAGGCCTTTACGGATACGGATAGAGCGCGGTCAGAGACCCCGAATCTGATCAAAAAGGTATCAGTTCAGTTCCCCGACAATCAGTTCCCCGACACCCGGTTCCCCGACACTCGGTTCCCCGACACTCGGTTCCCCGACACTCAGTTCCCCGACAAATCAGTTCTCCGACAGATTAGTTCCCCGACAAATCAGTTCCCCCCCGACAATCGGTTCCCCGACAATCAGTTCCCCGACAATTATAAGGTGCTATTTTAACGTAATTATGATGGTGGTATCATTCCCTAATTGTCGGGGAAATGATTGTCGGGGAACTGATTTGTCGGGGAACCGATTGTCGGGGAACTGATTTGTCGGGGAACCGATTGTCGGGGAACCGAGTGTCGGGGAACTGAGTGTCGGGGAACCGAGTGTCGGGGAACTGAGTGTCGGGGAACTGATTTGTCGGGGAACCGATTGGAATTCGATCAAAAATTTCAGTTTCATATTTAAAAATCGATTTGAACGGCTTTATGCACTAATTTGGGGCATAGTGGGCCAGGTCGCGCGCGTTTCGGCCAAGGGGGATGGTGCGGTGATGGGTAGCCGAAGTAGTAGTAGTAGAGTCCAGGTCTCGTCTTACAGCGTATATAGGTTATAACCGAGTTAGGCGTTAAAGTCCGACCTGGTATGCTGTCAACGCAATCCCATAGGATCGCATCGTATTGGGTGTATGAAACCCGATCACCCACACTCCAAACGCATTGAAAAACATGGCAACCACTGAAAATCTGCATAAACTTTGATTTCTCATCCAACTTGATGCATAATCCATCCATCGAAAGAGGTCCTGATTCGTGCTGAGCGGAATTTCCTGGGTTGTGTCAATTGTGAATGCGAGATTTCCCATCAATGAATCGATAGTTTGTAGGAAGTTTTAAGCATCGAAATTCTACCATGGAATGTGTGGGGGCCGAGGTTGCCCAAGCTGCGAACTTTTAATGAAATTGAGGCTTTCACCTGCCGGACATCTGGTCCTGATCTGCCCCCGTAACTCGAAAAACTGTGGAGTTTCGGTTTTCCATTTTTTGGGGCTAGTAAAATGCAGCAAAGGCTTCGGTTTACTTTACCCCTTCCCCCAGCCGGAAGGTTTTGGCCATAACTTTTTATTTCAGATGATTTCAGGCTTAAATTAAAACTCATGGTATAATTTTCGACGCTCTATCGAATCGCTTTGCGAAAATCCCGAAAAAAATAACGAAAGTTTCGAAAACTTCGGGCAGGGGTAAAGTAGACTTTACCTGCAGCGAATACTGTATTTATCGTGCAAAAAATATGCGTATTTCTTTGTCACTTGCCGATTCTGTTTGTCCGTGTTTGTACTCATTTTTCGGTTTTGTGGTTCGGTTTTAACCGTTTTTGGCTGTAATTTTTAAAGTTACAACACCTTTTATCATCCCACATCGTTCATCGTGCTCTCAAGTGGTGAGTTTGACATGAAGCTAGCATTCGCCGCCGCCACCCTCATTTTGGTAGCCATTCTGGTCTGCTTTGTGACGGCAACCGTAGAGGTCTCGGAGAGGACGAACGTGCGAGGTTGGATCCAGACTAAAAAGATCATTCCGAAGTTTTGGGGATTATCATAGCCTAATTGACAAAACTCACAAGGAAACAATCTGGATCCGAAGCGCCAAAATATCTGTTTAACGTAAGTTTTGTAAGGCCGATACAGTGTAAAGGTCACGACGGTCGAGCAAAAGCCATGCCAGGCCAGCATGAAAGTGATAGCGGGAAGAAATCCTGGAGATATCGTAGATTTTTTACGTAAAATATCTCACCAAAAATCACGACGAGATCAAGGGCTATATCGATGACGGCGATTACGACGGGTAGGACAATGGTGATCAGCGGAATTGAGACCTGCAGTCACATGTGCTAATTCACATTTTGACCTGACCGCACCTGCAACAGACAGTTCTTCATCCACTTTTTCTGCAGGTTGTACGTCTTCTCGCTCATCATATGTCGCCGTACGTGCAAGACGTGAAAGCTGGAAAAGCTGGCGCCTAGAGACATCGTTTTCTCTGATGGTGAGGATCCTACCTAAGACCAAGACAAGTAGCGCGATCGCCCAGGCGAAAACGTTGCTGACGACGAGAAACCCGTTCGCCGGTGTGAAGACGTAAGTTCGTGGCACCTCCAGGAATTCTCGGAACATAAAGTAGCGCTGTAATTCGTTTGCATCATACACGATGTTCTAGTTTCGTACCTCCAGATAGTAGGCCTTAGTCGCGGCAACGTCGTCGTCATAGAAAACATAGCAGCTAACACTTATTACATGCGTATATGCCAAAAATTGTAGACCAATATAGAACCCAATCATGTAACTAAAAATGCTGCCAGGGCCACGGTTTTTCTCCAAAAAGATTGACGCCCCGCTAGCGGCCGAGAAAGGTTAGATCGAGATGGTTTTTACACCATTCAAAAGCCCACGGAAAGGCGAGAAAGAGAAAACAAGCGGTTCGTTTTACAAGTTTTTTTAACCCTCGGCCGATATTAAACGATTAGTTAAAATGGCTAAAATCAGCGTCGTGAACTCAGCTTTAGCAAGAAATTAGCCGGCAGATTCTGCATAAAATCTGCAATTACAAGAACTTTTGTCCAAAAATTCGTGAATTAAAATATCTATATCGAAAAACGAAAAGCGCTTTTCTCTCGCTTTTCCGAGAGTTTTCGATAGATAGCTAAATCGTCAAAATTGGATGTTTCTGCGGCCTGCTACAGGGCGCGATTTTTTGGTGCACCATGTACAAAGCAAGCGTTTACTCGTCGTTACCTGGGGTCAAACTTGAGGAGATGTGTCGGCGGCATAATCGCCTGGTGTCTGAGCATGAACATGATCATTAGCAAAGAAACCATATGAGCAGCTACAGAGAGACCGATCACCTTAAAGGGTTTAGAATTAAAGGAAAAACAACGTACGATCTGCACTTGAGTCGAGACACCAAACGTCCATAACCAGCCGTTTGGGTAACCGCCCGGGATCGGAAAAATAAAGTAGGGGCTAAGGATCCAGCTGAGGAACGCGTCGGTTAGAAACGATAAAATCTGAATAGGCATATTGTCTTTATCCTTAAAAAGATGAGGTAGGATCTGCCGTTTTACCTGATACGCTGTTAATGCAATCCCATAAGCACGCATCGTATTTGGAGTATGAAACCCAATCACCCAAACTCCAAAAGCGTTGAAAAACATTGCAACGACTAAAAACACATCGAGTTACGAAATTTCGACAAACTTGAAGCGTAGTCCATCCATTTGTACAGATCCTGATTTGTGGTAAGCGGAATTACTTTGTTAGGATCGATGAATAGCGCTAGGTTGCCCATCAATAATTGTGAATCTAGTTATTCGCTAGCGACCTCCTCGGGTCGCGAAGCATGTTCATAAGCCATTTTAATGGAATAACCCAATTTCACCTGCCACATGGCCTGCTGGGTTCGCGGGCCTTGCTCTAGACAAAAAGATGCCGGTTTCCCCTTCGAATGAGGCCAAAAATCCATCATCATCAATAACAAAATGAAAAGGATACCACCCCAAGTTCACAAATTATTTATACGCTTGAGCATTTGCGGGTTATTTTTGATTTATGCGTTTCAATTGGCCAGGCTTCCGGAAAGCTAGATTCCCCTTCGATCTGTCCCAACCGATCGGATTCATTCTGTTACTCCCAAAACTACAGAACAGAAGAAAACGATTTGTTTTTAAACAAAGGCGCACGTTCAGGGAGGGGTCGTATACCCGTCCCAACTTGTACACCCTATGGACGTAGGGACCGCGCGCGCTGCCTGCCTGTGCCGTGGCGCAATTCCCCTCCTTTCCTGGGTTTAGTTTTTTTTATAATTTTTATAATTTATATATTTATTTCTAAACCATTCGATAGGTTATCTGATCTCGCTTGCTGGACTGACAAGGTAGGTGCCGGAGAAGAAGCTAGTTCTGGCCGCAGTAACAGGAAGTTTGTGTCCCTCCCTCTTTTCGTGAGCGACCATGACTCCGGTGGAAATGCCGAATGTAATCTGCAGCTTACCAAAAAAGCCCCGATAGTTCGAAGACGATCTCGAGTACGACGGTAAAATCCGGCACGACCACAAAAATAAACGGGATTGATACCTTCAACGTCCTCTATTGAAAGGGCAAGTCAGGGAAAAAATACCTGTAGCAAGCAGTAGAAGCATCGACTGCTTCTGCAGTCGATGTGTTTGCACGCTCATGGTATGCTGTCTGACGTGAAGTAGGTCAAAGCTTGAGACGCTAGCTCCTAAAAATAATCTTTGACCCTGCTGCGGCCTCCGGCGCCTGCCGAGCATGACTAGAAATGTGAATACAGTCCAAGCACCACCACCCTACGCCAAGATAAGCCCGCCAGCTTTCGACAACGCCATGCAACGCGGGATTTCCAGATATTGACGAAGCATTGGATATTCTAAAATGAAATAAATGTCAAGGCGTGATGAGCTACATAGCCTTCGTTGCCACTTGATCATCGTCGTGGAAAATAATACACGACATTACTAATACCAAGACGTAAACAAATAATTGAAGAGCGACGTAGAAGCACAACATAGGTCTAAAGGGACTTTCAGAAAGCCAATAGAGATACCTCGGTCGAAACTTTAGCAAGTGCGTAGCTGGCATAATTGCTTGATGCCGGAGCATGAACATTATCATCAGAAGAGCTTCGGTGTGGAGAGCCAAGGCAAGACCCATGCTCTGAAAGCAAAATAAAGATACGCCAGAAGCCTTCGGAAGCCTGAAGACAGTTTTCTCAACTATGCAACTATCGTATCGTTAGCCCAAGGTTTTTCAGAGATTATTCCGTTAAGCAACTCGACTTACAGTTTGCAATTGTGTCGAAACACCCAATTCCCATAGCCAGCCAGTCGGATAGCCACCAGGAACCGGAAAAATAAAATAAGGGGATAAGATCCAGCTCAGTAATATATCAGTGAGCAGCACTACTATCTAAAAAAACTGATCGCGACGCAAGATGTTTGCTTATAGTCTTTTGAAAGCACCAAAAAGAATGAGTATGGCTTATGCAGAGCCAGGTAACTTCAACCTACCTGATACGCTGTTAGCGCAATCCCAAAATCCCGCATGGATTTTGGCGTATGGAACCCGATAAGCCACAATCCAAATAGATTGATGCACATCCCTACGACTAAAGTCGAACACCCTAAATTCAACTTAATCATAAACATACCAGATGCATACTCCATCCACGTGAAAATTTCCTGGTTGATAGTCAGTGGAATTTCACGCGTACTGTCAACCGCCAAAGTCACATTGCCCATCACTGTTTTGTTGTGCCGGGGTGTTCGGCGATTTCTAGAGGCCGCCAATCGAGGTAAAACCGTTTCACCTGCGCTCTCGGTTGGTCCCTTATCCAGGCCACATTTCAGACGCCCGCGCTGCTCGGGCGGGCGTCCTGAATTAGAAATTCATAAATTCAATTAATTCCAAAAAACTGGATCACAAAAAGGCCCAAATGCGTCAGGTAAGTACCCTGCGTAGCCAAATATTTATAAAAAATACCTACTGCAAAGCTTAGATCGGGTCCACGAGGTTGGAACTGGGAGTAACATCAGGTTTCGGTGCCCAGTAACTGACTTGAAGCCCAGATGAGGACATATGGGACTACTTTTTGAATCCGTTTGCTGCTGTTTTTCTTGATTTTTTTGATTAGTTATGATGCAAGTTTTATCCCAAATCGTTACTCGAATGGACATGCACGAGTTCGGTGTTTGAGAAGAAGCTGGTCCTTGTGGCCTCTCCGCGTGATTTTCGAGGATGCCGTCTATCGTGCGACACCGTAACGCTAGTATGTTCCGGAAGCTGAGAGACACGGCTGACGAAGCATCCTAAATCGGGATATTACTGTCAGCCTATCCTCATGACATCATCGGGTCATACGGGGCAGAAATGGACCTGCCTGGTATCAATCCTGTACTCAGTTTCAAAAAGATCTTCTTGGTCTGCATTTTATAAGGTCGATAGAGCGCTAGTGTGATCAACGTAGACATGGAGCCGTGGAATCCCCATGCGAAGGTGATTAGAGGGTTGATACCTAGATCCAATTTAGCCTAAGTCGCGGTAACCGGTTCACCGAAATAAACCGTCAATTCGAAGACTACGATTAGAATCAACGCGATGACCGGTGCGACGACAAAGGCAAACGGTACCGATACCTTAAATATACACGTAAGACCAACTAGCCTAATGCCTGTAATTACCTGTAATAAACAATTCTTCATCCACTGTTTCTGTAGCCGATGCGTTTGCACGCTCATCGTATGCTGCTTTACGTGAAGTACGTGAAAACTTGACACGCTGGCTGCTGAAAAGCACCTTAACTTTCAGAATACCCTAATCTTACCGAGAATTACGATAAACGTGAGTACAGTCCACCCGGCCACACCATAAACAACGATCAGACCGTTATCGGGGGTGAAGGTGTAGCAACGAGGGATCTCCAGAAACTGCCGAAGTATCGGATAGCTCTGCAAAGAATTCTGGCGTGACAACAGTGCCCACGTCCAAATACAGCGCTTTTGTCGCTTCTTGGTCATCACCATAGAAAATGTAGATCGATATTACTATCACGTTGAGGTAAACGCATAACTGGGAGGAAGATGTAAAAGCAGAACATGGGCCTGAAAAACCATCTATGCAAAAAAAAAAAAAATGGCTGGTCGAGATCCCGTCTTTCGAATTCAAAAATACCTGGGTTTAAATTTTAAGAAATGTGTCGCTGGCATAATGGCTTGATGTCGAAGCATAAACATAATCATCAGCAGCACCTCCGTATCAACCCGATCACGATGCCGAGGCTCTGAACGGCAATATTTTAGGTGCGAAAAGCTGTTTTGTAAAAAACACTGATGGTCTAGTTGAAACGCACAGTTTGTAGTTGAGTAGAAACACCCAGTTGCCATAGCCAACCAGTCGGATAACCACCAGGAATTGGGAAGATGAAATAAGGGGATAGAATCGAGCTTAGCAGCGCATCGGTGAGCAACACGAGCACCTAAAAACTGATATTTTTTATATTTTTTCTTTATTTTCGCCGACCTGGTACGCCGTGAGTGCAATTCCAAAATCTCGCATCGACTTTGGCGTATGAAACCCGATCACCCACAAGCCATAGAAATTCAAAACGATTCCAACGACTAAAACGGGACCGTAGCGAAGAGCATCCCGTTAAAAAACGATACCCGACGCATATTCCATCCAGACGAAGACTTCTCGATTTAGTGTCAGCGGGATTTCTTTCGTAACATCGACCGTTAGAGCCAAATTTCCCATCAATGTTTTGGTTTGGTCGTTTGCCTGATTTTTGCCTGCCCCCCCCCCCCCGACTTGAGCTAGAACAGTTGCACCTGCACATGCGTTTTTTTCTTGATTTGATTTTGCCAATCCCGCGCTTTTGGTTGCTCGTCCGGAGAAACTATGCTCAAGAATCAAGAAGAATAGAAAGAATAAGAATACTAATAAGAAGAATATGGCTGCAGAAATGCTAAAATGGGCCCACGCTGCTAATATACCGTGATCAAAAACTTTCAGGGCCCCTGTCCCCAATACATCAACCAGAAAGCCATGGTTCGGCATCAATTTTGTGCCTAAATCGAAAAATATTCTCTTTATTGGCAGTTTATAAGGTTGATAAAAGGCCATCGTAATCTAATTTTTCCATAAACCGGTAAGTAACTGATCGAAAATCATTTATTCTACTACCATACGCCGTAATTCAATAGACACTAATCCTGATCGCAGGGACACTTAACGCGTGTGCTATCCGTGTCTCTTTCGCCACAGCGCTAGAGAGCTCAACGCCGGAAGCCTGGACGCGGCGATCGGCCCAAACTACAAAATAGGTTCAAATTCTTGGTTGAAGTTACAGGGCAACAGTCCAGCGCCCAGTCGGCGCATCATCTTCCTGATGTACGTCCGGTACGGCCGGTAAACCAGGAGCGTAACGACCGTCGACGCAAAACCGTGCCAGCCGAGGAAAAATGTTAGCATCGGGATCACACCTGGAGGCCGGAAATACGTCGCGTCTGGATTGTTCGATTTACCGAAGAGCATCACCAGATCAAGGGTCACATCAAGCACAGCGATGACAACCGGGAGTACCACGGTCCAAAAAGGTATCGATACCTGAAGAGACGGAGGCTTCATTCCTAAAAATCTTTGGGAACCTGTAGCACGCAATTTTTCATCCACTGTTGTTGCAGTCTATACGTTTGCCCGCTCATAATGTGACGCCGGGTTCGTAGCACGTGAAAGCTGGAAGTGCTGGCCGCTAAAAAAGGGAATAGGGGCCTGCAAGCGCTAACCCATCATTGCCAGAAATGTTAACAGCGGCCAGGAGCACACATAGATGATCATGAAAAGTCGATCCTCCGTCGGGATAACGAAACAGCGCGGGATCTCCAGGAATTGACGGAATATGGGATAACGCTGTAACGCAAAATGTTCTTTTAGGGAAAAGCTCCACGGACGTTCGAGTAGTCGGTTTTTGTTGCCTCGACGTCGTGGCCGGTAAAAACATAGACAGACATTGATGCCACATGCACGTACGTATAGAGCTGGAGGCCGATATAGAAAGCCAGTGCGTGTCTGAATGGCGTTCTTTCGCACGTGCATCGCAACGCACGAGCCGCACTTTCAGGCTCCTGCTCATTTACGCAATTTTGCGCTGCGTGTCGTAGCAGTAACGAATTCTGATCTATCGAAATGCCATTACCTCCTTTCAAATTTCAAAAGGTGCCCGGCAGGCATAATCGCTTGGTGTCTCAGCATGAACATGATCAACATCAGCGTGTTCATGTGGAACGTGATGCCGATGCCCATGCCCTAGGCGGCGCTTACAAATTATGACGAGAACTCACGGTTTGTACCTGGGTCGAGACACCCCACTTCCACAGCCAACCATTCGGATATCCGCCCGGGATCGGGAAGATAAAGTACGGTGCAAATACCCAGCTGATCAGGGCGTCACTGAGTAGCACTACTATCTGAAAATCTCACAACTTTATCGACGGGGTATTCTAACCTTACCTGATAAGCTGTTAATGCAATGCCATATTCCCGCATATTTTTCGGGGTATGAAACGCGATGACCCACACGCCAAATAGGTTGAAAAACATTGCAAGCACTACATATTGCCCCTAACGTACACTTTTATTAGAACCTGATGCATAGTCCATCCATAGAAAAAGATCCTGGTTTGTGGAGAGCGGAATTTCCCTGCTAATATCAACCGATAATGCCAAGTTTCCCATCAATAACGATTGAGGTTCAAGGGCGCAAAAAAGATGTTATTGTCTTGCCAAGGGTTGATGAAGAATGCAATCCGCAGTAGCAACTGCGTGTCGATATACACAAAAACTTAATTCGAGCACCTGGACCGTCAGTTTCAAAACCACCCGCCTGGCGTAAACGGTTCTTTGTTGTGTCTTCAGTATATTGTTGCGCTGCGGGATGAACAGTATCAAAGACCGTTTATTAGACGAGCATCATGGCGACAAGAAGCGAAATTAGGACTCGACTGAACTGGGGAGTAAATCCAAATCGCAGAGCCCGTGTGGGGAGAGGCCTAGCCTAAACCTAAACTAAGCGTAACACTGGGCATAAGCCAAGCGGACGCCTAAGCCTACGCCTAAGACCAAGCCTGAGCCTGAATCTAGGCCTAAACATCGATAACCGTGTGACTTCTAGCAGTAGACAAAGTTAAGTAAACCGAGAGACCAAGAGAAAAAAAATCGCCGGCACAACCTACTTGACGCAGGCGCCTCCCAGAGAAAAAGTTCCTGATTCGTTTCCAGCGGAATCTCCTTCGTCGCATCGATCGACAAAGCCAAATTTCGCATTTGTCTTCGAACGCGGGCAAACGTTGTCCGAGGGCAGTTTTCCGTTGCAAGTGCTTGCTATTATAAATCCACCTTCAGATTGCACAACAGGTGCTTATTGAGGTTCAGCCGGTGCATCGCAGGTTTTTTTCATCTCTACACTTTTACGCATTAAAATCAGAACTTCAGAATATCTTTTAATTGAATTCTTTCAATTCAAAAACAGTATTTATTTTATTCGATTTATTCCACGATTTTTGCGGACATCAACTTGATCGCGGTCCATACGTCCTGGGCGGTGGAGACGATTTTCGTCTCGGGCAGTTGGAAACCGTTACCCCTGGTGAATTGATTAGGTTTCCAATTATTATTTTATTCATCTCAAGTAGCTAAAAATTGTTTAAAAAAATGTTTACCAAACATCATTATCGTCTTCTGAAGGGCTCAACTCCATCGTGTATACCCAGGGGATTCCGAGGGACGCCGCATAATCATCAGAAGCGCCGGCCGCCGGGTCTAAAGCTCACGACGACGTTGTTTTTAATGTTAAAATTTATTGAAAATTCATAATCTTAAAAGTCCTACACAATTGAGAAGACAACATCGAAGTGTAATTAGCACCACTACGTTTTTTGATGGCGTCTCTCATAGCATCGCCGAGGGCTTTCTAAACGTGACGTTTTGTTTTTTGTCTCTCTCCCTCGCTCTCCCTCGCTCCCTCGCTCCCTCTTTCTCTCTCTCTCTCTCTCTCTCTCTCTCTCTCTCTCTCTCTTTAGCACGATAGTTGAGATACTTACCAACGCCGCTTCATTTTTCACCGTTTTGCCTTTCGCGTAACCGTAGGGACGTAGGATAAGTTGGCCGAAGCTGTGCAGCGACAGGTATCCCTTAAGTTCGACGGTTTGTATATAGCCAATTTAAGATTATGCATGCTGAATTTTCGATGTCAGCATAATAAATTAGTCCTATAGCAACAAGATGCCAACGACAAACCTTAACGTTCGGCGTTTGCAAAACGCCCATCACCGCCTTGACTTCCGGTTGGGTGCCCGGCTTGACATCCATGAACACCTCACTGCGACACTTCTGTAGTTTGAATTGAGCACCTACTGGCAGGGAAGATCGGCTTCACCCTTTTCGGCCTCTCCCCAATGGAAGGGGTAGTTCCGGTTCAGGTCGACTCCGAGGCAGGTGCCGGACGGCTGTTTGGCTCTAAAGTTTTTAAAGCCATTAGGATCCAAGAATAAGCATTACGGACCTGTTCTTGCGCCATTCGTGCTCTATGGTAAAGCTGAAGTCGTAGCCATCAGGGTTCGCTTGCGGGATAACGACGAATGAAATCTTTGCCCGTACTTCTTTGTCGGTGGCTAACTGTAAAGGCTGATAGTGTGTCAATGGATAGTGCTGCAAGACAATGTCATTCACGAGATAGCGGATATTCCCACGCGGCGCTACAACAAGTTGCCAACACATTGTGTAGCAATAAATGATACATTAAGTCATGGTGCCTCGCGACATGGTTTATCACGACATGCTGCATCACGACAAGATGGATTCGGGCACAGGTGAATAAGGAGGGGGTTGTCACAGCGTGTGCGTCACAACGCGTCACGACATGGTGCATCCTCTCGTGGTACCTTATCGCTGCGCACGTCATGACATGGTGCGTCACGGTATTGGGGGCTGCAAAAAGGTGCGACTCGGCAAGGCGCGTTGCGGCATAAGCGCGTAACTACAAGTGAAGTCACGAAATAATGCGCCACGACAAGATGTGTCAACGCATTGTGTGGGAAGTCATGGTGCGTCAAAACATGGTACATCATGACATCGTGCCTCACGATGAGGTGCGTTACGCTACCTCATACTGGCGACCCACAATGCCACAGCTGGAGGTGA